ATCCCCGAACTCGCCCTGGAGTCCCCGAGCCCCGAACCCTCCCTAGGATCCCCGCACCCCCGCCCGGGATCGCCCCGACCCGACCCGCGCCCCAGGGTCACCCTGCGCCAGACCCACACGTCCCCGCCCAGAGGCACCCCGCCTTAATCCCTTGCCCCGGCTCACCGCGTGCCGGACTCCCGCAATCCGACCCACGCCTGGAACCCCGCCCGGGGTCACCCTGCTCTGAGGGCCCCTGAACCCACCTTGGGGTCACTCCGCGCCCCAACCCCGCGCCCCCGCCCCTCCCCGGAAAAATGCCTCCACCTCTCGGCACTGCCCGCTCCCCAGCCGTGCGGGCCCCGGCGGCGGCGCCCAGCAACCGGCGGGCAGGGCGGCCGGATCCTGGCGCCCGCAGCGACCCCTAGCGGCCGGAGGACCGAGCCGGGCAACGCGAGGCCAAGGGTGCGGAAGGCAGGTGCTAGGTGCCCCAGAATCCACGCCCCTTGCGGCTCGCTCCCCTCTGCGTCCGCCGCAGCCCGTATCCTGTCGTCTCTGCAGATGTGCCCAGTCTGGACTTCTACAGATGGATCCCTAAAACACAGGGCTCCCCTGCGCCTATCTTGCCCACTTCACCCAGGCAGCCGGATGGGACTCAGCGAACCCATCCACCAGCCCTGGAGGGCGCCGCCTCCCTGAGCCCCCCCGAGAGCGGGTGATGTGCAGCCACTTCGCAGGGCCCCACCTCTGTGCGCCCAACCGCGAGGGGTGAGGATGCCTGACCTTGACCCTGACCCAAGGGTGAGGCCACCTGACCTTGACCCTGACCCAGGGGTGAGACCGCCTGACCTTGACCTGCCTTGGGAGCCTCACTTCTTTCAATCGACAAACGCAGACAAGAGGCGAGAGCGCTCAAGGGCGCAAAATATTTTATTTAACAATTTGCGTTTAGGAAAAATAGCAGCTCCCACCTTGGAGGGAACTTCTTGAATCAAAAGTCGCTGGCAGTCCACACAGAACAATGGGCTGGGGTGGGCTGGAGGAAGCCGAGGGCACCCCGAGGGGCTCACGCCCCAGGAACCACAGGAGCACTGACCCTGGGACACAAGAGACGCCCTAACGAGACCCGGCCTTCCTCGAAGTGACACGAACAAGGGGGTCCAGTCACACAAGTGTGAAACACCCTGGAACACATTCTGTGGGTCTGTCCCCGAAGATCCAGTGAGCTGGGAGTGGGCAGGGCCTGTGCTACCTCCGCCCCCCGGACCCAACAGACCCACACCCCACCACAGCAGCGAGCACGGGAAACTCCGCTACCGGTTTTCACAAGCACTGAAATCGTCCCCTGCTCCCTCGGGACTACGCAGAACGAGGAGACTTTTAAGAAGTCAATGGAGCCAGCAAGCCGAGTCCGGTGGGGGCGCCCTCCGCAGGCTCGGGGGACTGCGAGGCAACACCTCTGCACGCGGTGGCAGGTGGGAAAACCAGGCAGAGCTCCTGTCGAGAAACTGCTTTAAGCCACTTTCTCCCAGAGGTCACCAACTCCTGCGATGCTGTCACCCGGGTGAGGAAGCCCGTGGGCTGGACTGTGCCCTGAAGCCACCAGGAGGCGGGGCGGCGTCACTGCGTCCAGAGCAGGCGGTCCACACGGCTGCTCTGATGGCCAGTCCAGCAGGATTCTCATACCCGGGAAAATCCAGATCCAAGTGAGTCGTTAGTCACAGTGTCCACACCAGGCTGGTGAGCCTAGATCGGACGCGTCTGGAACACAAGTCCTGTTCGGTGGCTCTTTCATCTCTTCCGGGTGGCAAAGCCAGGCCCCCTGGTAGCAGGAAATCCCTTATGGTCCTAGCCAGGCCACAGAAAATTCGGTGCAGCTGGTGGGGGTGTGTTGGCCCCGGCAGAGAATCGCGCGCCATCACGGTGTCTCCCACCGCCGCGTGGACAGCTGCCGCGCCCCTCGGAGCAGCATTCGGGGTGAGGGAACGTGGGGGTGGGGGCTGCAGAGCAGGCATCCGTGTTTCCCTCCGGAGTCAAAGGTCCCCTCTTCTGCCAGTGTCTTAGAGGGACTGTGGGACACATTTGGCAGCAACTGGCCACCGGGCTTCGAGATGCTTGTTCCTGAAGAGAATTCTCTCCTGCAGCAGAAAGTTCCAGCTGCACTCAGTGTGACATCGAGTGACTAACGAATGTTTGTCCTTAAGTCACTCTTTTCAAAGTCAAAGGTTGAGTCGGAGGTTCCCTCTCCCTCCAGACCTCGAGGGGGCTGTGGGACCTCGTCGACAACACGTCCCATAGGCAGGTGCTGAGGGGGCCAATGGACAGCACCATCTGGACTCCTCTTGCCTGTCCCTCTGGGGACAGAGGCCAGCAGTCGAGTCCTCGTGGCAAGCGCGCCAGGGCCCAGATGCTAATCCCAGCGGGATTAGCCTAGCTCAGCGCTGGGTATTTCCTCTGGCCAATGCGCCCCGTCCTGGAACTCCCCGAGGTGGCAGAGGCCTGGAAGGACACGAACAGCACTGACTTCGCGCGCCGTCCCCCACGGTGGGGACACACTACAAGAGACCCGCACACGGTGACGCAGGCCTATGGCACAGACCAGAGCCCACCGCTGATCTCAAAGGGGCCCGTGCGGCCTGTTCTGTCTCTGCAGCCCACCCCTGTGGCCGAGTCAGCAGCTGACCCTGGCCGGCTCTCTAAAGGTGCTGCGCTCTGCTGGGGCCGGCAGTGAGGCCGCCTCCACGCCCGAGCGCCTGAAGACTCCGGGGAGGACCGCGGCCCGGCCCCGGCAGAGGGGTGCAGAGACCACCCGGGGGAGATGGGACAGACACAGGCATTTGCTCTTGCTCCCCCTAAGTCCCAACTGAAGGGAAGGTTGAGGAACTCATACAGGGATGGACCACGAGGTAAAAGTGACAGACAGCAGAGGGCCACCACCTAGTCTCGAGGTGGAGAGGCAGAGGCGTGGCCTGGTGGTGACGGGTCCAGCTATGCTGATGGCGGAGAGGGGCCGAGAAGCCACCTCAGCTGCAGGTGCTCGAAGCAGGGGCAGGGGGAGGAGGGGGGCTCTGTAAGAATGCAGGGTCTGCATCGGGACGGCCAGGGTCAGAGACGGAGGGCTTCCACTCTGAACGCCGAGACCCCCCGCAGGCCTCGCCCCCACTCAGCCCTCTACTGCAGGGGCAGGAAGGGAAGGAAGCAGCCGAGAACGTGCGGGCCGAAGGACACGCACCACAGGGGCGGGCAGCCAAGGCCTCACGTCAGAGGTGGGCCCGGAGCACGTGGCAGAGCTGCGGGCCGGGGGACAGGTCAGCTCCCAGCCTGGCCCCGGGCGGTAGCGAGGGCACTTACCTGTGCGAAGTGCGCTGGGTCGTAGAAGGGCACTGTGGCCCCGGGCGGGCCCTCTGCGGCTGCGTGGTCACCGGGAGCCTGAGAGCAGAGAGAGTTCATCTCAGCAAGACAACAACGGCACACAGCGCTTTGCGCTCCGTTTGCGACACACATACTATTTCTGAGCGAGGATTTACGACACTTTTGAATAAGCCACAGAAGCAGAAAGCAGAGACTTCCTGGAGCACTGGATTTAACTGCTAATGGGTCAGAGAGAAATGATACACATCGAAGCGGCATGCAGAGTAAAGTGCTTCCCAAATGGGGACACGCACAGCGCCACGTCCCACCAGCGTCAGCTTAAGCAGTTAGTAGAGACTGTCGATTGCTTCAGGCCTCAGGTGTCCAGCTACAGACTTCAGTGGTTTAACACACAAAGAAAAAAGTCACGTG